AAATCTTTAAAAAAAAAAAAACATTCTCACTAAACTCACCCTGGAACTTCACCTTGATTGGACACGCCTTTTGCCCTTGGCCCTACTCCAGGTCGAGCACTCCCAAAAAAGCCTACCCTACTGTCCCCTTTTGAAATAATGTATGGCAGGCCTTTCGTCCCCCCAGGCATCCAACCACAGTCTACCATCCCTTCCATTGCTGTCCTGCCCTTACTTTTTCATCTGCGCCAAGAGCTCTGGAAACACCAAGATTGGCTCTTGTCCGACCCGGTCAATGAGTCTAATTCCCTGTCTCTACTCCCGGGACAACTTGTCTTTTACAGACCACCTGAAGAAAGACCGCCTCTCACCCCTGTATGGAAAGGGCCTTTCCCAGTGGTCCTCTGTACGCCAACCGCTGCTAAAATCTCTCTCAAAAACTAAACTGCCACCCTGGATTCACATCTCTAGACTCAAGCCGGCACCCTCCGACCCACAGACCAAGCCCGATTCTCACATTAACACTGACACTCCCGAATACCAAGTAACTCCCCACCCCACGGACCCCCTTAAAATACGTATCTCAGCAAGCCCAAAATGCCATTCTCCCTCCAATCACTCCTTTTAACGCTCACCACACTTAGTCTCCCGACAATCTGGGGAGACTACGACCATCAGCCTTATAAACAAACCTGGATCCTCCGGAGTGGGGAAAGCTACGAGGAATGGAACTTGACGACCTGTCCAGATAGCCCTAAATGGACATGTTTTCCCGACCTGTACTTCAATCTTGAAAAAGCATGGCATGGCCCTTCAGGGTTCACAGGAGAGGGAAATGAATGGCAAGCGCATTGACTATGCACAGGAACGGGTTCTTTACGTGTCCCGGCTATCAATCCAACAGCCAGAGGTGCGGGGGACTACCGGCCCTCTATTGCGCCTCATGGGGTTGTGTAGATACCAGTGATGGGGTACGGCACTGGTCGGTCTCTAGTGACCTGATTTCTATGAGCTTCGCCCAACCATATAATGAACAGTGAGGGCGTAGGGTCCAGATTGACCGTGACAGTACCCTAATTAAAATCTCTTTCACCCAAAAAGGTAAAAGCGAGAAACGATGAGTAAATGGACTAAACTGGGGTAAAATGCTCTACCAGCGGCCTTGGCATGGTAAAATCCTCCAACTCCTTTTAAGGATGGAACCAACTAGCATACACACTGTGGGCCCTGACCATGCTCTGGCACCTCAGGTACCTCCGGCACCTCCACCGCCTCAGCTGTCCCCCTCACCTTCCGGCTCACCTGCCCCCTTAAACATTTCCAATGGTCCTTTAACCCAGGCTCCGCTAACATCTCACACTCCCCTAACTTTGGGGACCCCTGGAAAAAATACTGAAGGCCACTTTTCTAACCCTCAACAAAACCGCTCCTAACCTCACTACCGCTTGCTGGCTCTGCTACAGCCCCAAGCCCCTGTTTTACGAGGCTGTGGGCATTAATGCTTCCATTACTCTAAACACCACCGCCCCGACCACGGGGTGGGGAGCGAGAATCACAGGAGTAACCATGACTCAGGTCAGCGGCAAGGGAACCTGTGTGGGCACTGCCCCCACAAATAACAAAGACATATGCACCTCTTTTATCCAAACACAATCTTGGAACGCTTCTCATTGGCTCACTCCAACGAGGGGGGCCTGGTGGTTATGTTCACGATCCGGACTCACTCCCCCCCTGGCCGGCTCTATATTCAATGCATCTCACGAATTTTGCCTAACCGTTGTTGTCCCCAGAATTCTTTATCACTCGGCAGCCGACGGCCCGTCTTTTGGGGCTGCTAATCGCCTCCAAAAAAGAGAATCTATCTCTGCCCTCACTATCGCGACCTTATTTGGCCTGGGACTGGCAGGGACAAGCACCGGCATCGCTTCCCTGGCCACCCAACACTCAGGCCTCATGTCCCTTCGAGCGGCTATAGATGAAGACTTAGATCGCATTGAAAAATCCATTAGCCACCTTACTTCTTTATCAGAAGTTGTCCTTCGAAACTGTAGGGGGCTGGACTTACTCTTTCTCAAAAGTGGGGGACTCTGTGCCGCACTGGGGGAGGAATGTTGCTTTTATGCTGATCACACGGGAGTGGTTCGCGACTCTATGGCCAAACTTAGGGAAGGCGTAGAACGCCACAAGAGAGAGAGAGGCTGGGAAGAATTGGTTTGAGTCACTGTTCAATCATTCTCCCTGGTTGACCACTTTATGATCTGCCCTGGCCGGACCACTAATAATCCTCTTACTTCTTGTCACCATTGGCCCTGGTATTGTCACCCACATCATAACCTTCACCCGTCAGACCGTACAACAGGCTACTAACAATTTTCACCAGCTCTTTCTCAGACAATACCGTCATTACCAGCCCCTTAACACCGACCATGTCGACAATCCACATTTTCATCACCGCCCTTATCACAGCTGGTTCCTACCCGATCCGGTTGTTATCACGCCCCAAGAATGGTGTAATGACATCGTTGCCGACCGATGGCTCCAAGGAAGCTTCTATAACCTTACCCCCACACAAATAACTATTTTTTCAGAACACATACGTTCCTTACTCCCTCCCACACCCGGCCATATCCCTCGAGGCCAGTTCGTAAGGATGGCACAGGCGGCCCTTCACTCACCCCCTCCCAGGTCTACGACCCCAATCAGCAGGAAGTAGCCAGACTGATCGATGCCCTTCTCCCAAAACAAAGACTGGGGAATGAAGGATACCACCCAAGCCTAAAACCGAGCCTGTCCTCCCCCCACCGCCATATATGGCCATGGGCCTAGTCCATCCCACCTATTGGTTCTTTTCCTCTCGGCTACTCTTCCGTCACACTTCCCGCCTGACTCTCCCGCCTGACTGTGGCCCGGCCAATGGGCACTCGACACACCACCCCTGATGTACATATAAGCTCAGCTCTGAAATAAAATTTTGCTTCCTGGTGAACAGACTCATGGCGTCCGTCCCTCCTTTCCGCCTTTTCCTTTCAGGGGGCAGGACGCAGCCCTGTGCGCTAGCTTCTGTACAGAGGAATTTGTAATTTAAAGCAAAAATAATAGGATACCTTTATTGTTAAGAATCAAGATTCAACTTAGAATTAGGAATGGCTGAAGGAGGAAGACAGACCCAGGTGGGAGAAGGACCTAAACCCTCTCAAGTCTCATCCATTCAGGATAATAAAATCCACTCACCCCTCCCCCAGCACCCTTTTTCCTCTTTCTCCAGTCTTCTGCACCCTCCTCTGATTCCAACCCTGAAGCTCTACAAGGCCTTTGCAGGGTTATTTCCTCTACCTAGAGGGGCCCTGCCCCCCACCCTCCCCCCGACTCCTTCTTTCCCTTTGGGTCTTCATCAATATCCATCTTCCAGAAGTCCTGACTTAAATCGTGTCACTTCAATCTTGTCACCATCTCTCCTCCCTCACACACTCCCCACAAAAATGCTGCTGCTGAATTGCTTACCCACTAGCCAACGGTGAGCTGCGAGAGGCAGAGGTCTAGAACTGCCCCCTCTAGACCTGTGACTACAGTAGGTGCCCTGTGACAGTGGAGGTGGCGGATGGCTGCACGGATGGATAGAGGGATGATGGCTCTGGTGAAGGAGCCACGACACAGAGAGGCGGGGCAACGTTGCTCCAGGGGGAGGGTACAGCACCGGCAAAGGCTTGAGGCTGGAACTCACTAATGATGGAGAACCAGCCCTTTTTCAGCCAGCAGGGGGGTGCATGCAATAAGGGGGACAGGGGGACCAAATAAAACACTGGAGGGAGGCCCTCCCTAGTGGCGCAGCAGGTTAAAGCACAGCACTGAGAATCTGAAGCCACTTCCGCAGGAGTTCGATTCCCGCCTACCGCCTGCCCTAGGAGACCACATGGCGAGCCAGACCTCTCCTGGCCCGCCTGCTGCTCCCTCAGCAGTGTACTTAGTCGATCTGCCTGTTCTGCTCCCCACTCTGTCTCTGGTGAAGCCTCTCACCGCCCCTGAGCCTCTGGCTTGTACCCCAGTTCTGTATGCACAGGTGAATAAATCTTTAAAAAAAAAAAAACTGGAGGGAAGTAAGATGAAATGTTGAAGGCAGATGATCTATGTGCAAGATTATAACAGAATTTTATATTCTTTATGTTTCTATTATTTCCAAAGTACCTACAGTGAACATATATTACTTGTAAAGGAAGGGAGGTTATAAATGAGAAAAACAAACAAACAAACAACCCAAATCTTGCCCTTTAAAAGTCTGGCTGTAAAAGCACCAAGTTCATGACCCTGATGACTTTTAATTTTCTTTTTGTGGAATTTGTGTTGTGATGATGAATTAACCACAGAACATAGTTGTTAATGAATGAAACCAGCTGCTCTCTGGAAGCAAGGATGCTGTATGGCCTGTCACGTACACACTTTCGGGCACACAGGAGGGAGGAGGGGGACATACCGAGGTGTCCAGGGTGGGAATGGGGCTGAAACGTGAGTGAGGAGCCACATGTACTGCCACATGTGAGGTGAGCCCCTCCCCTCCCAGATGACATGGAGGAACCCTGAATTCACCACCTCCCCACCATACCCCCCTCTGCCACGGAGCCCCAGTGCTAATGTCCGGCAAGAAGTGGCGTGGAGCATGAAACAACCTTCCTGTGCTTTAGTTTTCCCATCCATGAAATGGGCATGGTACTACTTTAGGATAATAGGGTTTATTTAACCTCAGAGAAACAGCTAATGTCCCCAATGTCTAAGTTATTTCAGGGAGGTCAGATACCACCACCTCCCAACCAAAGACCAGGGTCAGGCCACAGAGGGAAAATGAGGCCCAGAAAAGGCTGTGACAGGCAAGAGTCCTCCTTAATAGGCGTCCTCAGAGTCATACCACATCTTGGAGGGGCAATGCTGTGATTGCTGTGTTTCTACATAAAGAAGAAAGTGACTGGGGGGACCCAGCAATTCACCCAGAGATGCTAAAGGCAGAGGCCATAGCACTTTGAAGCAGCACCCTGTTCATAGCGGTAGCAGGCTGAATCAGTCTTCAGAAATGACCCAGACACAGATATCCACATCTGCCCCCAGCATAGCTGATCTGAATGTTTTAGTGGTGAGAATTCCTCTGTTCACGGGTCCTCCTCTCTTGTATCTACCTGGCAGATGAAGGGGAGGCACCTGCAGAGGGGATCTCTCAGCGTCAGTTCCCTAACCCTTGCACAGGGCTACCCTAGGACACAGAGCAGGCACAGGCCTGGAATACAGCCTCTGATAAGAGTGAAGAGTAAGTGCTGGACGTGGTTCGAGAGTAACCACTGGAGAGAGTGACAAGGGGCCTGGAAAACACCGTTTCCAGACCTGGTGTACAAGTCCGGAAAGGGCGATCCAAGGGTCCTTAAAGAAACTTGCAAGTTCTGAGTCAGCTTGGGGTCAGCGTGGACCCCAGCTCAGTGGCCCCTATTTAACCCTGATACCTGCCTAACTAAAAGCTTGGTTATCTCCCTGGACAGATGGGAAAGACAAAGCAGGGATTACCTGGGAAGAGGTGGACCTCTTCCTGGAAGGTCCACCCACCCACCAGGGGCCATTAGGTGCCAAAGGATTCAGCTATCACATTTCCCTGTGGTCCACGCAGGCCTGACCCACAGTCCTCTGACTGTCCGGCTGTGGAGTCCCAGGGTCTAGTCTGACCTCAGGGGACAGGAGCTCAGTGTCAGGTGACTCTGAGACCCCACAGTCCAGTGTTCCCTCCTCTTCCTCCTCCTCTTCTTCAGCCTCCTCCAGAGTCAGCTCAAATTGGAACCTGTCAGGGCCACTCCGCTCAGGGCCGGTGGGGTCAACAGGGCTGCGGGGGATCTTGCTCTGGTACCACTCTCGGTTGTCTTCCAGCGTGTCCAGCAGGTCCTGTGCGTCTGGGTGGACCAGATCAGCCCATGTCTCCCACAGAGGGTGGGCAATGTAATCAATGAAACCCACCTGTGGGGTGAGAGAGAGGGAGTGACGGGGAGGTGGTGCGGTGAATCACCATGCTACTGGCTGCCTAGAACCAGCCCAGCCTTTAGGCCTCTGCCCAGTAGTTCCCTCTGCCTGGAATGCCGTTTCCCAATTCCTACTCCTCCTTTAAAGCCCTCTTCAAATAATTCTTCCTCTAAGAAGCCTCTTCTGCACCTCCTAAGGGAAGCCCTGCAGGGTCCCACACATCACCTAGAAGGTATTTCCAGCCCTCACTAGTGCAGATCCCTCTCCCTTTACCCAGGTAGAATGCTTCCCAAGCCTAACTGCATGGTGCACACCTTAGGCCACGCTCCCCCCCCCTCCCCGGAGGGATCAAGTCAGGACTCAGGGGTTGGCTCTGCCACTCCTTCCCTTCCCTACCCCCAATGCTGCCAGCTTCACTCAGTCTCCCTCAGACCTGGGACTTCTCCACTGAAGCTGTGTGCTTGTCACACATGGGGCTGATGTCCAGGCCTGACTCACGCTCGCGGTCACCCTGCTGGAAGAACTCGGCCATGATGCGGTCTGTCCACTGGCGGTACAGGGGCAGCGGTTTTGTGGGGTTGCTCAGGTCGGCACAGTGAACCAAGTTCTGCAGGACCTGGGGAGACCAAGGCTCAGGGGGGCTTGGGTTGGGTCACCCCTGGCCTAGTACCCACCCTTCCCAAACCAGAGGGATACCCTGGGGACACCCATCTCACAGGTGGGAAAGCAAAGACCTGGGAGGGGAAGGAGAGACACGGGCACCCAACTTTTTAGTGTCTCCATTTCAAGTGCGGCATAATCAGTGTTTCATCAGAGCAGCTAAATATAGTCATGCTTTGCTTAACCATGAAGGAAGGACCACGTAAACATGGCCCCAATAAGCGGTACCATATATAGCTGTGCCGTAGGCACACCATCTAGGGCGACGTAATTACACCCTGCAACTTTTGCACAGTGATGAAATCCCCTAATGATGCATTTTCCAGAATGTGTTCTGGTCATTGCCTGTAAAGTCTTGGAAGCAAGGTCCTGCCCACCAGCCACATACTTGAATGCGGTCAGAGTAGTTGTCCAACATCAGGACTCCTAGGCTTGTCACCTTCTTGGTCTCCACCATGGTCTTGAGGTCAGCCAGCAGGTTCATGTGCTTGGACATGTCGGTGGCTAGCACCTGGGGCAAGCGAGGCAGGATGATAGCCATGAGGGTCCCCCCCGCCACCCCCACCTCCCAGCTGCCACACCTACTCAGACTCTCAGCGCTCAGTGTCCTTACCTGTGAAGTGGGGGAACACAATGAGACCCAGCTCACAAGAAGGGCTGAGTCATGTGGGAACATGTGGGACATGGCCCAGGGAAGGAGATTAAACCTGGGGGCCAAGGGAGAGGTGTCTCAGTGCAGGGCAGAGGCCCATCAGAAGACACTGCCTGGGGCCAAGGAGCCAAGGACAGAGAGGAGGTGCTTGTGGTTGGAGCAAGAGAGCACGAGAGCACAGGACCAGTGGGAGGTAGTAAGGCTAGGGGCAGGAGGTTTTTTTGTTGTTTTTTTTATTTGTTTGTTTTTAAGATTTATTTATTCATACAGAACTGGGGTACAGGCCAGAGATGCGGAGGGTGAGAGGCTTCACCAGAGACAGAGCGGGGAGCAGAACAGGCAGATCGACAAAGTACACTGCTGAGGGGAGCAGTGGGCGGATCAGGAGAGTTCTGCCTTGCCATGTGGTCTCCGCTGGGGCAGGCGGGGATCGAACTCATGCTGAAGTGGCTTTAGCTTCTCAGTGCTGTGCTTTAACCCGCTGCGCCACCAGGGAGGGCCAGGGGCAGGAGGTCTTATGGGCATTTGTCCAGAGGGACCCTGGGACCACCAGAGCCACTAGAAGCAATTTAAACCTGGAGGAATCTAACATGGCACGATCCCCAAATAGCCCTGAGCCTGCCAGCTAGCAGGAAAGGCCGCTTTCAGTCTTTCGGAAGGAATGCCAGCCCTGTTTTTAAAATCTTAACCAGGACCCTTGTGGCAGCGCAGCGGGTTAAAACGCAGCACTGAGAAGCTAAGCTTCCGCATGAACTCGATCCCCGCCCAGGAGGTGAACCCTTGGGGCAGCAGACCTCTCCTGTCTCACCCGCTGCTCCCCTCAGCGGTGTACTTGGTCAGTCGGCCTGTTCTGCTCCCCACTCTGTCTCTGGTGAATCCTCTCACTGCCCCTGCACCTCTGTCCCATACCCCTGTTCTGTATGAATAAATACATCTTTAAAGAAAAAAAATCCATTTGGTCAGACTCATGTGGCTTTCCAAAATCAGACAGAAAGCTTCAAAACTCTGAAAACGTGCCATCAGCCTCAAGTGACGCTTCCCCTGGGGGTGCCTAGCACCTGAAGCCCTACCTCCACCTCACCAATTTTTCAGTTCCTTTTCACTCAGAGTTTCTTCCTAGCCCCTCCCACATGCTGTTTCCCCTCCTGGAAATTCCTCTCCAGGGGGGTGGGGGCCCACCCTCTGCGTCAGTGTTCTCCTCTGGGCGGCTGTCCTGTCCCGACCTTGACAACCCTTCCGTCACGGCTCTATATACCCCACACAATCTGCTTCTGGGCTCCCATGTTGTCTATCCCCACCCCACAAATCTAATAAATCTAGAACTGTCTTGGTCATTGGCACAGGCCCTGCACACCACAGGTGCTCAATGAATACTTAGTAAAGGAATAATAGAAGCATAGGGTCCAAAAACATGCTGGGCCCCCCAACCGGAAGAATATCAAATGAGACACTCATGGTGAGGAAAAGTTATACTTGAAACCCTAAAAACTCATTTTTCACATCACTTGTGCATGAATTGCAGCCAGGATAGGATCGGCATGATCAAAGGCCCCTCCACCCCATTTCTGGGCTTGAATGGTCTTTGTCTCCGTTTACAGGCCAGGAGCCACAGTTTCAGAGTGGGACTATGCCCCACTTCACCTGAACTCCCAGCAGGCCAAGACCAATCATACCCATTGATCACTCAGGCCTTACCATGTCGATGACCATCCTCCGCAGACTCAGCCGCTGCTTGGCACTGAGGTTTTGGAAGATATCACAGTTCTCTGCCTGCAGCAGCTTGAAGCCCACAGCCAGGTGGTGGTTCTCCAGCACAGAGGCATCATTGTACATGAGTGCAAGCTCTGAGTCTGGAGGGGGAAGTGGAGAGCCTTAAGGCCTGCCCTCCCCACCCACTCCACCAGAGGTGGGTTTCCTTGCCAAACATCTACTCATGCTGGGAAGCCCCAGTTCTATGTCCCTTCCTCCAGGAAGCCTGCTGGGAGCTCATGTCTCCCCCTGGCCCTGACCTAATTCTAAAGGGCTGGGGTCATTGTGTTTGACTATCTCGGGAGACTGGGGGCTCCTTGGGACCCTGGTAGGGCAGGAGAAAATGCTAAAGGAGCACTGGTTAAATGACCAACTGAGTTTCATCTTATTATACTCTGGGGTCATGGAACTAAGAGGGCTTCACTCATCCCCAGATCTACAGAGACAATACCAGAGGTATTAAACACTTGCTTGTTGACTGAGATTTTCAGGTTCTTCAAAGGATATTGTGCTTTAAAATCTCAGTGGGTCCGATCAGCTCTGCCACGTGTGTTATTCTCTCACTTACTGAGAGCCTACTGTGTATCTGGAGCACCCAAGGGGGGGAAGATCGTCAAAGTTATCTCCCAAACAGGGACACTGGGCTCAGAGCAGAGACCTAGGGGACTGGGAGCACATGACTGGCAGGTGGAGGTGGGGTCTACCCTGGACTCACTGGTGTTAATGAGAAATTGGTTGGAGACGCCAGGATGATCCACATCATGGATAGCACTTGCAAAGATGGTGGCCAGGACTTCGAGGTCTGTGAAGACCGCCTGAGCAGGTGCAGGGCATGAGAGGTGAGGACAGGTTCTCCATGGCCAGCACCTCCCTCCTCCTGCCTCCAGGACTGTACCTCCAGAGCAGGTGTGGCCAGGAGCACATGTGCTGACTGGGCCACATCAGCCGCGTGTATGCTGTTGTGGTATGCCACGTCAGCATGGTAGTGACTCTCCAGCGTCAGCAGGTAGGTGACAAGTGTGTCCGCTGGGATCTGAAAGGTCTTGAGCAGGTCCCGTTCCTGGTTCATCACAGACCCCCAGTCAGGTCCCTGGCCTTGGGGCTGAAGCACACACTGTTCCTACTCCTGCTCCCTTGAACTCCTATGCTATCCACCCGTCAAAGGCCCCTTCTTCCAGGGCATCCTTCCTACCTGCCCTCTGAACCCCGTCAGTCTCTATCCAGCTCTGACCTGACAGGACTGTGGAGATAAGTATTCAGCTGTTCCCTCCTGATTGGGTCTCTTCATGGCTGAGCCCAGAGCTGAGGCTTGTTGACCATGAACTTCTCAATAGTGAGCTCCTATTCACCCTTCAATCCCCTGCTCAAATAGTTTCATTCAAGGGCATCAGAGAGGATTTAGAGTGTTCCCCATGGTCATGAGGAAGGAAGATGTGAAGGAAACCCCAGAGATACTGGAAGCCGAGGGGAGGGGACGTACCTGAAAGATGCTGAAGATGATGGCTGTGAGAGGCCGGTTTCCACTTAGCTCTGCCACCTTGAACACGTCAAGCCCCCACTTATTTGTGTCTTCCAGTTCCTAAAATGAAAAGAACTGGATTTGAATTCTAGCCCAACTCCTCAGAAGCCTTCCCCCCAGCCTTCAATCATCCCCACCAGCCTTCAGGTCCTGCATTAAGCTTCCGACTCCATCTCAGCATCCCAACTGGGGACCCACCTTGGCCAGTTGCCCCTCTTGGTTGGTCTGGACCCCAAAGCGTGGGACAGGGGCTTCAGAGAGGCTGGTGCTGTGAGGGAGCCCATGCAGGCCACTGATCTGGGACATGGGCCTTGGGGGCGCCATGGGGGTCACCCTGGACAGCTCCACCTCGGTCTGCTGGTCTGCAGGTGGGGGAGAGAAGGTGATTCACCTGCTAGAGTCATCCTGTCTGGCTTCGGACCCAGGACCTTGGTGAGTCTCAGGATCACCTTATTTCCTTTTTCCCTGGATCAAAGTAAGCTTCGCGTCAAGTCCCTGTCTGGTCTTAGCTCCACTCCCCTCTCTCTTCCCCTCACCCCATGGCTATTCTCAGTGGTTATTGGCCTCTGGGCACCCGAGATTCAGTGTTTTCCCCCAAATAGCCCAATGTGCTTTCTCTCTTGAAAACTGTTTGGTTCTCCAGCTTTTCTTTGGCTAATTTCCACTCATGCTTCAAAACCCTAGCTTGAATCTCCTCCTCCTGGAATTTCCTTCTGTGCCTCCCTCTGTCCAGTCCTGACTCATGGGGCTGGGGGTGTCTGTGTCTGGCTCTTGCCTCCTCAGTCTGAGGTCTGGGGTCTTTCTTTCTCTCCCTTTATAAAGTACAATCAATGACCCACCACAGCTTACCCAGGAAGGTTCGGGATATATACTCAGAAACCTGGTTCCCAGAGCGACTGGTTTCAGACAGGTGAGTCAGTTCCCGGTTCAGCATCCGTTTGAACTGCCAAGGAAGGGGAAGACAGTGGTGATGGGGGTGCTGTGTGCAGGGCCGGATGGAGTACTTTAGGCTCTCTGTCCCCTTACCTTGGTAGAAGCCATCTCCCCCACCGAGCGCCGGGTCTGCAGGGTCTCCAGCTGATCCAGACACCAATCCAGCTCATCTAGAGTCTCCAAAGCCAGCTTCTGCCCAGTGTCCTCTGGAGACTGAGATGGTCAGGGGGCCAGCCCCACCCACTTGGGAATTTCACACCCTTCATGCCGCCATGTCTGCATCCGCACCATGGAACCCTTCCCAATGGGGTCACACAGGAGCCCAGGATCTGAGTTGCAGATCTAACCCTAAGTAACTGTGTAACCTGGGCACACAGGTGTCTGTCCCTCTCTGTGCCTCAATGTCCCCATCTGTAACATGGGTGTGGAAGATTGTATCGCAGAGTGATTTTTATTGGGGGCAGTCCTTAGCACAACCTAAGGATTCGTGGGCTGCACTGGGGAGGTCACTGTGGAAGTTCCTAGCTATCACCAAGTGGCAGGAGAGGGAGAAGGTAGGAGCAGGCACATTACCTGTAGTAGGAGGGGGATGACTGCCAGCTGGGGGATTGCCGACGGATGCTTGCCTGAGGAACAGTCCACTCAGGGTAGCTTGCCTCAACAAGTGGCCCCGCCCTCCAGCCCTCCAGCCCCCGCCCTCACCCAGTCAGCATAGAGTTGCCAGTCACACTCTCGGCCAGGCCCTGCCCAGCTTACCCGTTCTCTGGCCTCCGCCTTCTCGTCACACCTAGCCCACCTCTTCTGTAGGCCCCGCCCCCTGCAGTCCCAGTCCCCGCCCAGCCCTCTGCGTACTTTGTTACCCAGCGGCCTGGCAGGTGAGCAAGAGCTGCTAGGTTGCCCCGAACTGTCCGCAGACTGGCCAGAACCTGTTAGCAGAGGGGTGAGCAGCATTGAAAAAAAAAAGGGAATGTGTTCCTCCTGCTTGGTTCATAAAGAAAAGGGAAAGGACACCCACCTGGGCAAAGGGTGTCACAATCATGTCTTCTCCGTGTCTGGGGGAGAGGGGAACAGAACATCAGGAAGGGTTGCCAGGGGAGAACTCTCACACATTCCTATAACCAACTTTTACCCCCATGATGTCTTTAGCTGAGCACTTTCTCTGCCCAGGACTTCTGTGTTCTTCAGGTCCCTGGAGTCCCTTCACCCAATTTACCAGAAAACTTCACTTTATCCCCATCTCACATATGAGGAAACTGAGTCCCAGGATTAGCAGGGTCTTAGTAGATGCAGGATACACGTGGTTGTAGTTCCCTTTTCTTTGTGGCTACCAGGGAGCTCAAATCAAGGTTTTTATTCAGTTGCTGCTAATTGGCTTTAATGTTTCTGTGCTGCCACCCAGCCTAGCCTGAAGTCAAGCCTCAGAGCATAGTTCCCAGCAAGCTTGACTGACTGACCGCCTACCAAACTCTTATTTAAACTTCAAAGTCCATTTCAAACGGCCACTTGAGGGAAATGTGCTAATAGAGTAAAGGAAGGCATTATCCCGCTACCACACTCACAGATCGCTGGCCACTGAGGAGTTCCGGGACATCGCCTTGGGGGAGAGTTCGTAGTCGCTGTCCGAGCGGTACAGGAAGGATTCCCGACGCTGACTGTGCTGGCCAGATGCTTGGGCAACACGTCCGAGGCCAGGCCCAGCCTGAGGGTCCAGGGTGCTTCTCCCACATGAAAGCCCATTTTCCAGGTCAAAGCTGAAGGCAGAGGAAGTATAATCAGAGCTGAGGGTCCAGGCATGTGGAGGCTGGGTTGTGGCACCCCCATTGTCATATATTCCCTGGACATAGGGTGTGGAGGGGCTGGGCAAGTGGAGCTTCAGTTTGTCCACCTGCTTCACAGTCACACATACACTTAGGGCCTCTGCCTCTGAGTCTGTACCCCCAGGAAGTGTGTTTCAGATCTGTCCCCAAGAGACTGTGACCATGGGTAGGTGTCAGTCACTCTCTGATGCCCATCGCCTTGTCTGTAATATGAGTGTGGTATACCCGAGGGTCATTTTGGGGGCTACTACTCAGCACTTTAGCTGGTTAACTGGGCACCCATATTACAAAAAAGAAACTGGGGACCAGGCTACAGAGTAGGATTAAAGGACTGGAAACAAGTTCCCGGGTTCTCCTCTTTGGAGGGAACCCTAGGTCTGGCAAGCTCAGAGGTTCCCCATAGCAGGGAGAGGCCTGGCGCTCCCCGCTCCCTCCCCAAAGTTAGTCCCTTGGTCCCTCCTCCAGGCCTTGTGGCCTCACCCCAGTAGTTTGACCACACCCTCAGTTCAGGGCAGAAGGGAGGCATGGGAGGGGGGGGACTTGTGTGGTGTGGAGGGAGAGGTCCATCCTCAGCTACCTGCCACATTTTCATCCTGATTGTCCACCCGGACCTTTTGCCCTGGCAGTAACCTTTGCCCAGAGTATAGTCCTCCCTACAATGTACCCCCCTCCCCACTTCCAACTGCCCCCCACCCCCAGCTTTCTCGGTCGTGGCCCTCCCTCCAACTACACCCTCATTATAGGGCATCAATGTCCCTCCCCCTTGGAAACGTCAGAGAAACGTTGGAGGGGGCGTGGGCCAAGCCCAGAGGTGCAGGAGATAACTGCTGGGAAGAGGCTGCCGGTCGGTCACGGGTTTTGAGAAGCGGCAGACATGAGAAGCGGAGACGCGAGCCGGCCCCAGCAGCTCAACGCTGCACACTCCTGGACAAAAGCGACGATCGACCAGCCCTCCACGTCACTCTGCTCCCGATCCACGGGCGAGATAGGTGCCAGACCAGAAGCTGCAAACAGGGGTCTCGCTGCGACCGCAGTGGGGGTGGGGGAGAAACGGGGAAACTGACTCGGTGGAGGTGCAGGGTTCGAATCTAACTACCGGGCACGGAGGGTTAAGATCTATCTAGGCGGGGGTTTTCAGACCGCAGAGGAGGCTGTTTTTCTTTCTACTCTAAACTTAGCAGCGGGGTCAGGTCGTGGTTCCATGACGCGGGCGGCGCAACCGAGGTTCCCAGACTGTGGGAATCGCACGTCTGTCCATTGGTTGGACAGGTAAATACCCGTATGCACCTGGAGGGACCTGTTCTCCTCCAACCTCACTAGTGGGTACCTGAGGGCTTTCCCTCCATGCCAACTCCCTAGAGGACTCCTCAGCTACCTCTTTGCGGAGGTCTGGTGCCCTAGGGGCATTCTCTGGGTCACCCCTCAAGTACCATCAGAGACCATGGCCAAGACTGCACCCTCCCCCAACTATCACTGCCTGGCCACGTGAGGTTGGAAAGAAGACCTCCAGTCTCTGAGACTTGCAAGGAGTACGAATTACCAAGTGACTGCAAATGCAGCACAACCGGGCTCGAAACACCAGACACAGTCAGCACCCACAAACCCCACCTCTGATCCAGCTTCACCTTCCTGTGGTGCTCCCTGAAGGGTGAGAATCGAACCCAGAGTATTGGGTAGAATACTTGGAGGATGCAACCTATCTGGGCTGGGCAAGATGGCAGTCTGGAACATGCCCTCTTACATGGAGAACCCCCAGCCTGGAAGACCCACTTCAAATCAAGTCTTCCTTCACAGACACAGAGGGCTTAGTGTGAGGCCTGGGGCCATCTCTGTGCTACCACGGGGAGGGTGGGGACTCAAGACCAAGGGAGGAGTGATCTGCCCCATCAGGCTCCTCCAGGACTGTCAGCCAGCCGGCCCCAGCCAGCCCCAGCCAGCGAGGGTCAGGAGGGGACGTGAGCTTCAGCCCGTCCTCTCCAGCTACATCTGCAAATGGACAAAAGGCTGATCCCCAGGGCATGCATCCCTTAGAGGAGGGGAGGAAAACACGGAGATGTGGAGAGGGAGATGGAGACAGTTACCAACTACAAAGGGAAAACATAGACAGGAGACAGAGCAGGACAGAGAAAGCAGAGAGGCAGAGCGTCCGCGCTCCGACCCGACCTACCCCCAGGTGTCCCTGACTCTGCCCTTCCCACCTCCAGTCGGCGGTTCCCGCGAACCCTCCAGGCCCTTGGTGTAGCCTCACCACAGCGGATGGGCCACCGTGAAGCGCCGCTGCAGGCGGATGCTCTGGTTCACCAGGAGCTTCCTGTAGAGCCCAGGAGAACCTCGCGGGGAGCCCCGGGGGGAGCTGGGCCCAGGGCCCGGGGCGGGCGCGGGGGGGCCCTGCATGACCCAGGCGCCAGGCGGCTAGAGGCTGCGCCCAGCGCCTGCCGCGCGGAACCTTTTCTGTACAGCCTGGGGGGCGGGGCCGGCGGGGAGGGAGCAGAGGTCCCTTCGGCCCCTCCTCGAGGCTAACCGGCTGCTAGACGGCCCTGCCAGGGGTGAACGGGGAAATTGATGCAAAGACTTGGACGCCACTCTGCTTCCACAATTTGAGAGGCCCCCGTGGGACACAGAACCCGGATCTTACAACACATCCCTCTCTGATGTCCCCCTTTAGTACACTTGCCAGTCTGATAACTTGGTGGAAGAGAAAGAAGCGGAAGTCAGAAGGGGAAGTGTCCCCCATTATGAGAGGGTCACCAGGCACAGAGTTTGCAGAGGGGCTGTCATATACCACAGAGTTTCCCATCTCTCTTTGCCCATTTTCCAAATGGAGAAACTGAGGGAGCTACCAAGGAACTGTTGCCCATAAACTGCAAACTGTTCATCCTTTGCAAGTTGGGGAAACCAAGGCATGAAGCAAGGTGTTAACTGACACGAGACTTCATTGCCAGCAGTCAGCTTGAACCCAGTGCCCTCTCTCCAGATCCTTTTCCACATGTCCCCACATACCCCCACTCACTTTGACATTTCCCAGGCCCTGTCTCTGGAGACTTTCCCCTCTCTTGCTGTCTCCAGCAGACAAACATCCGCACTCACTCCCGCCAGGTCTTCCGTCCTGTGAAGCTTCAGCTGCCTTACCCATTCCCCATTCCCGGAAGGACCCTAAGGTGCCTGGAAAGGGAGGCCTTGCCTCTGATGGGGGACAGGGGTGTCCAGGCTCGATATCAGATGCGGGGGTCAAGATTGACCTGCCCCACTCTACAGAAGAAACTAAGTCTGGGGGGGAGGGAGGAAGGGCCTGGAACATCCCCGTCACAGGCAGAAATTAGCACACTAGCCCCCCCTCACCATACACACACACACACACACACACACACACACATATCTGAGTTTTGGTCCCTTGGGACTGCACAGTTTGGTGTGCCCTGGAAAAAGAGCCCTCACATTCCTGGCAATCCTGGAAGAATGTGAGTTACAATTCAACACAACCAGGGCTTCAGTGGAAGAGTCTGAGGGAGCACAGGGGCCAGATCCTGGACATCCAGTCACTCTTTTGTCCTCACTGTGAGAAGACTGAGGCTCAGAGAAGAGTCGCACTGGGACCGGAAAAGAGAGGGGGTCTCTGGTGTCTGGCAGGGAAACTCTTTGACCCCCACGGCACTGCAGCTAGACACCTAGTAGGAGCCAGAATCACTGGCTTGTCCCAAAGATGAAACTACCATCTGTAGCTGCTATGTGGGAACCTAATTATAGGCATTCCCCGGGGGACAGGATCAGCCTGGTGGAAACCTTTGGACCAGAGTCCAAGCAGCCTTGACACTGCTCTAGCTCTGTGGGAGGGGCTCTCATGTTCCCAAGGAGAAACTGAGGGATGTTAAGGCTAAATAAATGGATGCAGTGTTCAGCATCTGACGCTGAGTGAAGCCCTGTGTTATAAAAGTCATTTAACTTTCTGAACAATTCTACAGAATGTAGACTATTGCTCTCGCCTTTCAGTTGGTGAAACGGTGTCTTTGCTCCACGTCACAGCCAGGAATGGCGAGGCTGAGGTCATCACTGCTGGAGCGCTCCCATCCCCTCTCCAGCCCCAGAGGCAGCATTAGCATGCTTGTATAATAGTTTTAACATTAATGTTTCATTAACAGAATCAACTGTAAATATTTTATTAACAGTCTTAACTGAGGCATTATTAATAGTTTTGTGAATGGACGATACTAAGCCGTAGATTGCAGCCTGACTCAAAGGGCCCCAAAGCCAGCCTGGTAAGGGGCTGAGGGCGGAGACATGAGGACCCCCCTCCTGACCTTGCTCCCGCTGCATGACCCCAGCACCCAGCAAATCATCGCCTGTTTTCCTCCATTGAGCGTCCCTTCTCCGGCCATTTTTTACTTTGCCACCAGGAGGCTCCAGCAAGGTGGGACTTATGGGTGCTCTTATACCCATATTGAGGTGAGTAAATCAAGGTCTGAAGGAGAGGTGTGATGTAACCAAGTCCTCAGTTGACTAAGGAAGACAGAGAGGAAGGTGGCGCCAAGTCACGTGGGTGGATTCCCTGCAGTCAGATCTCAGCCTCTCCTGCTCCAGCCCCTTTCGTGAGTGCCCCCTCGCCCCTGTGTCCATACCTCCCCGGAAGCCCTGCATGGCTGCCCAACCCATGTCCTCCCTGCCCACTTCCTCTTAGCTCACTCTGCTCCAGCTCCATCTTCCCTGCTTGCTGTTCCTTGAAGCTACTGGGCTCATTTCCTCCATGTCTTTGTCTGAATGTTCTTCCCATGCTGACTTTTCATCTTTTGGGTCAAAATTGGAGCATTACTCCTCCAGGAAGTCCTCCTTGACCAATTGGGAAAACGTCCTCAGAGCTCCCTCCTGTCATGGGTACAGTTTCCTGTCATGATCCTTTGACCTGCGTCTGTCTCAGTCACCAGCCCTGGAGGACAGAGCCAGATATGCCTCCTGCCACTTCTGTGACAGTGTGTGAGGTCAATCCCCAGAGCTCAATAGAGCTTGTAAAATATCTCCCCTCTCATCCTCCAGACACACTGAACTGTGTTCAACTCCTCATCCACCTAATTCTCTTGAGCCTAAGGCTTTTTACATTCTGTTTCTTCTGCTTGACATACTCTTCCCTGAATTCCTTCTGGCCTGCTTCTCCTTTCTTCTTTTTTTGGATAGAACTGGGGTTCAGGCCAGTGCTGGGAGTGAAAGGATTCACCAGAGACAGAGTAGGGAGCAGAACAGGCAGATTGACAGAATACACTACTGAGGGGAGCAGCAGGCGGGTCAGGAGAGGTCTGCCACGCCATGTGGGTCAGCTCCATGGGTGAGATAAAACTCAGGCCATAGTGGTGATAGTGCTGAGACTTAATCCCTAGGCCACCAGGGAGGCACTGACTTCTCTTGATTCTTAAGGGTAAGCTTAGATACCAGTTCTTGTAAACAATCCTTCCATATCTTCTGCTCGGGAGTTTCATGTGGACTCCCCTGGCACCCCAGTTTCTCCCCATCACCACAATGCTGCCTCTAGTCACTATAAATTGATCTTATGTGCACCTGCTTGCCCCTGGGCTGTGTCCTCAATAAGGAGCCCAGAACACAGTAGTGCTTAATAAAGTGCTTTCTGGGGGCTCTTCCTGGTGGCGCAGCAGGTAAACGCAGCACTAAGAAGCTAAAACCACTTCAGCATGAGTTCGATCCCCGGGCCCAGAAGTGATCCATATGGTGTGGCAGACCTCTCCTGGCCCGCCCGCTGCTCCCCTCAGCAGTGTACTTCATTGATCTGCTTGTTGTGCTCCCCACTCTGTCTCTGGTGAATCCTCTCACCACTCCCTGCACCCCTGGCCTGTACCCCAGTTCTGTATAAATAAATAAATAAATCTTAAAAAAAATAAAAGTGATTTATGAACAAGATAGCCAGACACTTCCAGAGTCATATAATCTGGGAGCAGTAGGAAGGACCACATTGGAGGATAATGTTCCAGCACACAAGGGTCTCTACAAGATACAGGAAATATGGAGATATATTTGCATGTCATAGATGACGCTGAGGCTCAAGAGCATTCAGTAGGTTGGCCTTAAAACCAGCTCTCCCCGACCCTCCCTGTTGGCGCAGCAGGTTAAAGCACTGCACTGCACTAAGAAGCTTAAGCCACTTCCGCATGAGTTCCATCCCCCCCTGCTCCGGAGGTGACCACATGGCGAGGCAGACCTCTCTTGACCCGCCCGCTGCTCCCCTCAGCAGTGTACTTCGTTGATCTGCCTGTTCTGCTCCCCACTCTGTCTCTGGTGAATCCTATCACCCTCCACATCTCTGGCCTGTACTCCAGTTCTGTATGAATAAATAAATAAAAAAAAAAAAAACAGCTCTCCTGAGGACAGAACCCCTCCACCCCACATTAGTACATATTTGCATAGCAACACACACACACATTCTCATGCTCACAGGGATGCAATCCATCACTCAGCCTTCCAGAGTCACATGGGGTACCCAACCTCCCCCATACGGGCTGAAACCAAGTTTCTGTTTGTTCTTTCTGAAGATGGAAAATCATGAGTCACCAAGAAGGGGGGCAGGAGAAGCTAAGGTGGGGGAGTAGGGCAAAGGGCCTTCAGGGTCACCTGGGAATAGCTTCTACCATTCCTCCTCAGATGCCCTTCAGGGCTGCTGGTGGGTATTAGGCTGGTGGAACAAGTATGAAGCAGTGGTCCCAGAAGGCCCAAGGATGAAGGCAGGAGAAAACCAAGCTCCAGAGGTCACCAAGGTCACCAAGCCTGGCCTCAAACCTGGGACTGGAGGTCTGGCCTACAGGAGGCCCGGGGCTCCTGGCCTCTGCGCCTTGGCCCTCAACCCACGACCCCGCAGGTAAAGCACCCACTGAAAGGCCCCATATTCTCTGTGCTGTTTTTCTTCTTGCTCTGTCTTACTCCCCTCATCTTCCTAACCCTCTATGTACATCCCCATCCACCCAGTTTATAAGACACAGGAGATTGTCTCCCCTTATTTTTGTCTCCACACCCCATCCTTTTTCATATGGAAGAAACATTCTGTGCTCAGGCTCCCCAAGGCTTCCTCTCCTGAAGGAGACAAGAGGGTGGGGTGGGGGTGTTATGTGTGGCTGGGCAGGCCAGCAAGTGCTGCCCCTCAGCACTGGGGATAGACCACCCTGAACCTCTCACACCCCACCCACCCCTAGGGCTCCTCAGAGGCTTGCAGTTACCAAAAATTACAGAAACACTCTTGAACAGTTCAGGGTCCTGTGAACCCTGGAGACCAAACGAGGCAGAGAGGACAGTCGTTCCCAATCACACACTTCAGTCTCCACGAGGGAGACACCCCCCCCAGCCTGTGGGTACACAGGCACACATCCCAACACACCGAGTGACTGCAGAGCCAGCAGGCCGTGTGCATTCACACATCCAGCCAGAGCACACACTGCTCATCACCACACACAAGCACACATGCATTCGCAGGATGGCACAGACCCACAGGGCTCTTAAAACTATTACCGTGCGGCTCTCCCCCACATAAATGCCCCTCTTTCTGCCAAAGAGCCGGCCCCAATCCAGATGCAGAGGTCCCGCCCGCACCCGCGGACCGCGGCCCCTGCCCCACGCCGCGACCTGCCCTGCCCCCGCCTACCTACCGCTTAAGGAAGGGCAAAGGCCAGGAGCAATGCGACTTCTTAAGCTCCCGCCGCGACGTGCCGCCTGGGCCAGAGTGGCTGCAGTCCACGGACTTTTTCGGGTCCGAGTGAAAGCGTTGCTGGATGCGGATGGGGTGCCGTGACTGCCGCCACAGATGTTTCGGGGGTCTCGATATGCCTTGGCGGCTGCGAGCACAACTCAGCTCACTGAATATTTCCACCCCTTCCTGAACCCTCGTGGTCTCCATGCGCCGGATTAGAGGAGTGAGGAAGCTGCACCACGCCTTAGCTTATCCCCGACACCGGAGCAAGGAGTGTCTGCGCCCAGGTCCAGCTAGGGTCGTGGGGGTGGAGAAGACCTCAGCGGGGTGCTGAGACTGGAGACAATAGATACGGGGTCTCAAGGTGGGGGCTGATATCAAGGAGCTGTTCGTGCTGGGATAAAGCTGAAGGATAGCCGGGCAGGAAAAACTTGAAGGTCGGATTGGAGACAGCGCTGGGAAGGATCTGCCGTCCCCTCTGGTGCTGGACGAAAGAGGGTCAAGACTTGTGCTTGACGGGAAGGTAGAAATTGCTCTTCCGGTCACTTCCAAACGGAGAACTGGGAGATGGCCTCAGGGGACCGCTCCACCCTTTTCACACACACCCCCAAGCCCCAAAGCGCTTTCTCTTTCCCCTAGTGCTAAAAGGGAAGAAGATAGATTCAGGGGTCTTGAATGGATGAGACAGCGAGGAGCTCTCCGCGACCTGTTGGTGCTGAAAGCAGAGATGGGGGATGGGAGCACATCCATGCCAGGGCACCGTCCACCCTGGAGGTGCTGAAAGCTGAATCGCGGCGGGTCCTCAACCCTCCCACTAACACCAACAGGGAGGAGTCTCGAGTAGTAACCTGGGCTTTCATCTTCAGAGGTAGGTCCAGTGTCTCCCGCAAGCTCAGAAATGTAGGCTTAGTGGCTCGGTCCCAGATGGGATCTGAACACACACACACACACACACACACACACACACACACAAACACACGGCAGGTGCACATGCAGGCCAGGGATCCAGGAAGATCAAGGAAATGGGATGGGCTGTGGCACACAGAAATGTGGATGGGCTGTGGCACACAGAAGCTGCCTGTGGTGAGCTGCCTTCAGTGAGAGTGGGGAGAGAAGCAGCCATTCACGGTCACACCATCGCCCATTTTGTCAGTGGAAGTTGCCGTTCTCATTTTTCCCTTGATGTCCTTGACTCCTCCTCACAGTCACAATCACTGCTCTCAAATCCCAGAACTGTCCTTCCCTCCCTTAGATCTAGAAACTCGAGACCCAGCTCACCAGCCTTCTTAGCCTCAGGGATAATTTCCTGTGAAGGGTGGGGACATTCTCACTTGTGGTTAAGAAGCAGATATGGACAAGAGCAGGGCTGGGCACAGAGGTGTGGACTGAGGCCACTTGTGCAGCAGACTTGGTGCCAAGAGGAGTTCTGATATTGTTGTAGGATCAGAAAATTTCAAGAAGGATATTTCCCATGGAGACTTCTCTACCCAAGCTGTACGCTCAGGTTGGGAAATGTTTGGGTCAGGGAGCAGACAGACTGAGTCAAGCCACTGTCTCACCCGATCTTTCTATCTGGTGCAAGACTAATCAAGCGCACTCCTCTGTCCTTGGTTTGCACGGTTTGGTCCCTGCCTTCCCGCTCAGTCCCCTGTCTGCAGAGCTGACAGTAAGATCATTTTCCCCAGTAGCAAAGGTGGGTTCTGCCACCTGCAGTCTCTGCCACTTCCCCTTCCCTAGTATGTCTTCTGGAAAATTGGAATAATCATAGTGTCCCCACTTCTTGGCATCATTGTGAGGATGAAGAAGATATGTGACACCTTAAGGGTCAAAGGCCAAGGGTCAGTCACATCAGCTGCCTCTCTCTCCTAACTCTCACTGGGGCCCACCAATGCCTGGTATGTCTACTTAATAATTTCTCAATCTGCTTATTTGTCTCCAGCCTATGGCTTCTACCCTGATCCAGTCATCTCTATCTCTTGCCAGGGACTGTCCAAGTCTCCTTGTTGGTCTCCTACCTCCATCTTTGCCCCTGAGTTTCTCCACTGGGAATTCATACTTAGCTGATCAACTCTTTTTCTTAAAAACCTACCCATGGCTCCCCATTACACCCCATGAGGTTCTGGGTAGTCTAGCCCCCTTCCCACCTCCCCCAAATTTCCTTCCCACCCCTCCAACCACACTGAGGTGTGTTCAGCTCCTCACATACTTGGTCCTCCCAAGGCTTTGCACATTCTGTTCCTTCTGTTTGGCATACCCTTCCCAGCACTTGCTCACTGACTTTTCTTTATCCTTCAGGTGAGACTCAGATGCTGCTTTTTGTGCATCCCTCTGCTGGATCAGGGGTCTCTCCTTGGCTCCAGTGGCACCTCTACCTCTCCCCATCACAACACAGGTCACTCTGCTATCTCTAGCTGCTCTTAGTCTCCACCATCAGCCTTTAAGCAGCTACTTTCCCATGATTGACCCCAGTACTGGGCCCAGCACACAGAGCTTACAAAATGCTTTCCAGGCCCTCCCTGGTGGCACAGCAATTTAAAGCGCAGCACTGCAAGCCAGCCACAGTTGCTTCGGTACAAGTTCCATCCCTGGCCCCAGAGGTGACCACATGGTGCAGCAGACCTCTCCTGTCACACCTGCTGCTCCCCTCAGCAGTGTACTTCGTTGATTTGCCTGTTCTGCTCCCCACTCTGTCTCTGGTGAATCCTCTCCCCACTCCCACCCCTCTGGCCAGTTCCCTGCTTTAAAAGAAAGAAAGAAATGTTTTCCAAGGCCCTCCCTGGTTGTACAACAGGTTGAAGCACAACACTATGAGACTATCCACAGCTACTGCCACACAAGTTCAACCCCTGGCCAGAAAGGTGACCCACATGGTGCAGCAGACCTCTCCTGACCCACTCGCTGCTCCCTTCAGCAGTGTGTTTCAGTCCATCTGCCTGTTCTACTCCCACTCTGTCTCTGGTGAATCCTCTCACCAACCCCGCCCCTTTGGCCTGTACCCCAGTTTTTATATGCATAAACAAATAGATCTTAAGAAAGAAAGAAATGTTTTCCAAACAAGTTAAAGAAAGGCCCAGCTAGAAGAGGTGTTCTCCCTCACCTGAGATGGCCCCCTATGTCCCCAACTGCCTCCTCACCTGCCTGGAGCCTGGCCATGGCTTTGTTCTGTTCCTCGAGCCTCGATGGTGAACACCACGCGGGGGCTGGGTTCAGACTCTGCAGGGGACCCAAGGCGGCTGGACAGTGGTGGCAGCAGTGGGGTCCCTGAGAAGCGTCTCCGGATGACACCAGTACCAAGGGGGCTCACAGGCGCAGAACCAGAATCTGCTGACTCCCGAACCCTCTAGGGAGACAGTGGTAGAGCATGAACAAGTCTCCAACCTAAGGACCAGATAGATACCTGGACTGACCCAAAGAGCTGTATCTCAGTCTAACCCCCTGAGTGAACTTACCTTGCTGAGGCTCAATTTCTCATCTATGAAATGGGATTGTGTATTTCAATCTAGCAGGACATCAGCAGTGTCTGACCCATGTAAGCTTTACAGGAAGATGTATTAGTCAATTAATATGTAGTGTGGATATATGTGTGTGTGTTTATTATAATACATAATACTTATTATAATACTGATACTTATTATAATAAATAATAAGATGTACCTCACTTCAGTGTCCACAAATGCTGCACTTCTTACAAGTTGAAGGTTTGTGCAACTCTGCATCAGGCATGACATTTGCAACAACTTTGATGATGGCACTATCTCTTAGTGTACCTACAGTTCTATAATATTATTTATTAAAATATAGAAATGGGGGCCTCTCTGGTGGCACAACAGGTTAAAGCTCAGCACTATGAAGCTATCTGCAACCACCGCAGGGTGAGTCCAATCCCCAGCCAGGGAGCTGACCCACATGGTGCAGCAGACCCTTCCCCCACACCCCCACCTCCACCCCGGTCTCACCCGCTGTGCCCCTCAGCAGTGTGTTTTGGTCAAATTGCCTTTTCTGCTCCCCACTCTGTCTTTGGTGAATCCTCTCACCCACTGTACCTCCGGCCTGTACCCCAGTTCTTTTATGAATAAGTAAATAAATCTTTTAAAATGATATAGAGAAATTAATTTTGCAGTAAATAAACCTGTGAATAATGGCAACTAACATTTCTTTCACACCCTCCCCATGTAAAAGCTGTTCTAAGAAACTCTTACATCAGCTCATGAAGGCACAATAAGATGGTTTAATGCCCATTATCATCATTTTACAAACAAGAAAATGGGCTCAGAGGTTAAGTGACTTTCCCAAGCTTGAACTTGGTAAACAAATGGTAGAGATAGAATCTTGGATTCTAACTTTCAGATCGTTTTTTGAAGGATTGAATAAGAGAAATTAAATGAAATTATATCACCCTGCTGTATGTTATGTTCTAAGCAAAAGCCTGAAATATTTAAAAATCAAACAGAATTGGGTCAAATTGATAAGCCAGGGATGTGAGGCTTTCAGCCCAACAGATCTAGATTCAATCGATGCTCAGTGGCCAAGGGCAAGGACAAGCGTGTTTCAGTTCCCCATTATGACGTGCGGTGATAAGGACTGGGGGTGTATTTGGGGGTGTTTGAGAAGGAAAGGATGGTGAAGGGAGCTGTCCGGGGTGCTGACCCCAGAACGTGGCACAAATTTGGGAGTGTTGCATGAGGTCAAGGAGAAAATGCAGGAATGGGAGAGACCCCATCTTCCCCTGCCTTGCCCCTGAGCTTAACAAACGAGACATTCTCCTCCATCAGACTAGACATAAGGACATGGAAACAGGTGCAGCACCACAGGCCTCACCAGGGCAAGGGGAGGGAGTTAGGGAAGATAAAAATATGGAGTTGAGCCTCTGTTATGTGCAGGGCGCATTGTCTAGCTCACTTCCCTGCTCAGGAGCTGGGTCCTGCATCACAGAGGATGCAAATCTAGGAGAGAAGATGCCCTGCGAGAGTCACAGTCGGACTTTGCCAGGTCCCACCACCTCCACACCCACTCCCCACTCTGCTCTTTGCACAGACATGATCCTTCTAGGACCTAGAATATCTAAGGTTTTCCTTCACTTGTCAGTGACTGTCCCTCCCTTCTCCCAAGATCACCTTAATGTTAAAGCAGAAATCTAAGTGCTCAACATTAGGCCTCCCCGGAGGCAGCGTTCCTGGCAGCTGAGACGATGCAGAGAATGGGGTGTGGGGAGATGGGAGTCCCTACAAGTATAGGAGGCCTACCGAGGTGTCACCAGTCAAGTTGTTCTTTCCACAGCTACAGTTAACATCATGCTAGAAAGAAAAAAAAGAAAACATGGAAGAGCCCGGAGCATGATAGGGGAAGCTATTGGGTTGCTGAGGCTAATAGAGGCCTTTCTAAGCGGTGACTTTGTGCTGAGACATGGGAGAGGACAATGAGCTGGCTGGAGAGAGCTGAAGAAACAGCATATCAGGCAGATGGAGAAGCACATGCGAAAGTCTTGAGGTGCAAACAAGCTGCTGAAGGCCTGAGTGGGGTGCAAGAAG